CACAAAGTAAACTAAGATGCAAAGAACCGATATAACCTGCTCCCTTTTGGTTCTCTAGTGTTAGAAGATAAGAAACGTCTAAAACTTTTCGTGCTTTTGAGCTCTTTCTAGTCTTCCATGTTGATTATTTTTATTATTCTTTGCTTCTCTCACAGCTGGTTGCACAAATGCTGTTTGCCCCTTTTAATGGGAGCAGAATGGGTTTTGACTTACTTTATACAATCTGTTCAGGACTCAAGATCTTGTCCATTGTAGGTGAAAGGAGCAGTAGGTCCCAAACAGGGGAAGTGCCTGTGTTTGCAGTGCTTTGGGCCTTATTTCCCCAGTTTTAAACAACTTGCGTAAGGACTTATTTTGATTTTGCTATACTTGGGCTCAGAAATCTAAATCACGTATAACTCTTACCGGGTTAAGAGTATTCCCAGGTAGCTGGTGCAGATATCTTGTAGAATTCTGCTAGCTAGTTGAAAGTAATGAGGCTAGGTTGAACCATTGCCTAATACTTGGTTTAGTGTTTGTGCAGTAATTACTAAAATGTTGGTTAGGTCATTCCCATTTTTTCTATGTAAAACTGTGACTTTATGTCATAAAGGACAAGAAGTTAAACTTTACTCACACTAAAAAACTGCCTTTTACATGTATCTCCAGATGTTATGCTCAGACAGTGGGAAAATAAATATAAATCCTTTAAAAAAGGGTTCTTCGTGGTTTGTTTTTTTTGTTACAAGCCTAAAATACAGAATTTGGAAATATGGTGAGAAATTTAAAAGAACTGTGAAGTATTATGAGGATGTAAATTAAATTATTTAAGGGGATGCTTAAAATTTTAATAGTGTGTTAAAGTTCTGAATACTATAATTTCTTGTGGAATGTTTTTGAGGTATAGGAGTTTGATTACACTTCTGATCAACTGCAGACTAGATTGATTCATGGCCATTAATCCTGTAATTTTGACAATAAAACAGTAAATGTGTTCTTTATAAACTCTTATGCCTTTCCAAAACTTTTTGTTTAGCTTTGTTAGGTCCTTAACAATTATTTTTGACTGCTGCACCTATACTCTTTCCTTTTAAAGTTGAGAGTACTGATACTTCATTTTCATAACACTTCTGCTTTTTTTTCTACTTGCTTTAGAGATGCTAATGGGCATAAAAAACCCAAACACCAAAACAGTTCAGAAACCCTGTTTATGTTTAGACTGCTGCTCTGTTATGTTACTTGTGATATTTCAAAGTGTAGGTGATGTATTTTTTTGATACAAACTTTCTTTTTGAATGACAACAGTCTTCGAGTGGCAGATGTGTTGTATAGTAAACTTGCCAGTATTTGAGAATAAAAATTTGGTTACCTTGGTTATCTGGTTACTACCAGATTTCTGTTGTTTAGGGGAAAAGCCAGGGACATCCTTTTTTTTAAATTTCTGTTAAAGTATGAGGAAACTTTTAACTTGGTATATGATACAGAATTCCACCCCACCTCTTCCCCCATATGTCTCATCTTATCTTAAATGTGATTTTGTTTTTTTTAAGCTTCTCCCTCCAGATCTAGCAGCTTTTATTTGCAGAGGATCAAATTCAACAGATCAGATCAAAAAAACAACCAACCAAATAACACCCCCACCTCTCCCCCCCCAAAAAAACCCACCCAAAACAGCCAAAAGAGGAATCAGTTCTAGCATTCAGTTGTTGAATCAGTAACCCTATGATGGGAGATTATTCTATCAAGAGAAATGGATTTAAGGTCGTCACAACATCTAAAGATTTGACTGTCGTATCACAGGTGAAAGGCTTGGTTTGGATTATCTGAGCCCTCTCCAGCCGCTGGCTGCTTACAGACATTCCATTTCTCGGTGATTAAGGGTGCCCTGACCGTGTGGATGCCCAGAAGTGTGTGGGCAAGAGAAAGCTGTTTGATACAGCCTCTTGGGATTGCCAGAAGAAATGAAGTAAACGTCCTTTCTCACAGATTCTGAAACTAAGTGGAAGATGTGTGTCCTCATGTGAACACTAACTAGTTAAAAGATGGGAAACAAAGATTCAATTTTTGCAGTAAATGGAGTTTACCGGGAAAGCCCCGCAGGAGTTTGCCCTGGGCCTCCTGCTGCCGAATCTCTGAAAGGCAGTGGATGAAGTGCAGTGGGGTTTGCTCGTCTCCTCAAGCTCCTTCAGGGCCAACTGAGGAGGGATGCAGAAGGGCCTTCAGGGGTGATGCATCAGGAGGGAGGGAAGTACTTGAAACTTGTAGAGAGTAGTAGGCCCTGGGCTGGCGGTGTCTTGCGAAGATGAGATCTTGTGTTTTTTGCAGGAAACTGCTTTGATAATGCTTTCTTGATTTCCTACTGAGAATTGAGTGTCAAACCAAATTTCTGACGTTGTTGGGAATAAAGAGCAGAAACAAAAACATCCTGTAAAAATCCACGTGTATCCCCCACTGTGAACAGTGCGTACAATTTTGCCTCCTACGTCATAAGGAAGTTATAATACAAATGGAAGAAGAATAGGGAAGGGATGGTAAGAGTGGTCAAACATACGGAATTGCCTCTGTGTGAAGAATGATTGATTCTTGGACCTGGAGAAGACAATGAAGGGGTATTTGATCTAGGTCTGTGTAGTCATCAGCAGTATATGGAAAAGACAGCAGAATGAAAAGAGATTAATTACTCCAGGACCTGAAAAATCATCAGAGAGTAGGTTCAAATTAAACATGGTGCTCATTAAGCTGTGAAATGCCATAGCACAGGACACACGATGCTAAAAGCTTATGGCTTTCTGAACAAACAGTACCTAGGTGAGAACTAGTAAACATAAAGGCATCGTCTCTGACTTCAGAGGTCCTCGAGTAAACTTCCTTAAGTACCTGCTCTCAGCTAATGAGTCATAAGACAAATGGGTTCAGATTCTGCTCTGGTAGCTTGACAGTCTTTATCTTGATGGCCTAAAAACCATGAAGCAAAACACTTCATGACCAGCTAGAGACCGCTTTCTAGCTAGCTCGATTAGTTAATCTTTGCAAGTTTGATAACAGCTTGAACAAGACAGGGATATAACTTCTTTTAGGATACAGGTAGACAGGTTTAATTATCATACTTGCTGTGGGGCTTGTCTGATCTTGTGGTGACCTACCTTCCTGCCCCCAGCAACTTTCTTGTTGAATCATCAGACTGAGGATGAAGCTGCACTTTTTTTCACATTTCCAGCTGAGAATAGGCTTGCTGAGTTTCTGTATGCTCCTTGGTCAGAGTTTTGTTCCGGTTGTACAGGAGCAAAACTAAATTTTTCCTTTTTTTTTTTATCATATAGTTAAGGGTAACTGTAATGATTGGCTGGTTTTAGTGTTTTGACTGCTGAAGGATCACTTTTAGTATTTTTGACCTCTTTTAATGTAGATGCTTAATTGGCTGATTATATAATTGAGAGCCAGATGTGCGCTTACTGAACTAGAAAACTTTGCACAAGAACGTGACAAGAGGGTGTGCTTGCTTGAAGGACCACTTGCCAGAAATGTAAAACATATCTTTAGGGTTTTTTTCAGTTTCATGTAATTGACTTTCACAAAAACCTTCTAGTAGATGTTTTAGCAACATAGGCTAACAAATAAGGTTTGGGCAGTCGTGTCTCTTAAGAATGAAGGGTTCTTAGCTTGTTTTTCCTCTTTCTGTTTGTCCTTGAAGGTGTTACCATTGGTAGGCTGACGACAGCATGTAGCCTGTCTTGGGAGTCTGGAAGTTGCATGTTGGAGGTCGATTAGGTCACTGTAGGACACTTGAGAAATAAAAAAAAAAAAGTTTAAGGGGTTTTTACCACCCTGCAGCTAACTGCAATTATTCCTCAATACTAGTCTTCGCAAGTTCGTTTTTCTGTATGCTCATTGTCTCTTCTAGTTATAATTTGACAGTAAAATGTTGCTTATAGAATTACACCTTCAGTGACTGGTTTGGATTTGTGCACACAGTTCTAAGGATGGCTTGCTGTTCTTGTATCTCTTTCTACTGCAGGCTTCTTCGGGAAGAAAGTTACTAAAGCAGCTGCAGATATTTCGTATTTTAAGCAGTTGCCTCGCATGTTCGCTGTGTGGTATTCCTGTTGGAGCACTCACGGCGGACAAAGAGGTGCCTTAGATTTTGTTAACGGCAGTCAGTCGTTTGTCTTGACGTTACAGCTGTCAGACATCAGAAAAGGAAGTCCGTTTCATCTTCTGAAACTCTTGCACTTAAGTACATACACATCAGAGTAACATACTGTGTGCCATTGAGTGATAGGGATGCCTGTAGTACCTTGTGGTGTGGTAGATGTGCTCCGACTGCCACTAAACCTTTTCGGCAGTTTGTGTTCCGAGTTACTGGAGATTTCCCGCCTAAGGAAGTGCCATGCTATGCTCCTGACCATTTAATTGTTTTGCCTTGGTCTGGCTGTGGGGTATGGTCTAGCAGCTGTTGTAGCCCTATGGTCAGACCGGTAGGATTCACTCACAAGCTCCTTACAAGCCATAGCTGGTTTACCTGTAGCTGAGTGAGGTCATGGGCAGAGCAGACTTCTGCTTTGTATGTATCGGCGCGTATGATCATGCCCTTAGTTATCCGTGATGTTTCTGGAAGTTGAATGTCTCAATTGGTCATGCTCTTGCTAAGATCCTCTGAAACAGACACAACTACTACAATTAGTATTTAATGCAGAAGGTCTCTGTTTTTTTTTTTTAAAGGTGGTGCGTAGTGAGGCTATTTCCCAGTGAGATCCAGGGGGTTTTAAGGATGCTTTGACACGTATGCCATTTCATTTGCAGGATATTTACTTCAGAAAACACTTCTGAAGCTGTTAGTGCCATTGGATTTGCACAGCTAAAGTTAGACAAGCATGGGAAGACCGGTTGCTTCAAGCAGTGTTGTGTGGAAATTACTTGTATGTTGAGGAAATAGCACTGGTAATAAGTGCTTTGTTTCAGTTGTTTGAATGCCTAAACTGAGTGCTTACCTTGTGGTTTTGTTTTGGTTTTTTTTTTTTTAGCAGCACAGTGGAATGAAGTTTTCCATGAAAGGAACTCATAACCAAGGCAACAGCTACAGCCCTGTCAGCACTGGAGGCATGAGGCAACCAGTTGGTAACCGGGGACACCACCAGTACAATCGTAATATATGGAGAAGAAAAAAACACAGGGACAGTTTGCCTATTAGCCTGAGCAGATAATGGCAGATGCCAAAATGACCTTCCCTGCTCAGACAAACTGAGTGCCACTCGACTTGAGGGATGGAGACCAGCGCCCAGCACATCGTTTTCTTGGTGTTGCCAAATATCTGCAGCTGACTTCTTTGCATGTTTCTTTGTGTGGTGGTTCAGTCCATCTTCAAGAAGTAGTTGTGCTTATCTGTGAAGCCTTATTAAATGTGGAAGTTTTGTTTTCTGCCTTCCCACAATGGTTCATACAGTGCCGAAGCAGCTCTGACCATGGAACTGCAAGGACATTTACAAAGGCTGTGGCTTTTTTGCTGTGGCTGCATCTGTTCCTCTGTGGGTTCTGTTTTCTTTTTATTTTGGAAGTGAACGAAACTTCAGCCCCGTGGAATTCTTCTTTTTCCTTGCAGCAAATCGAGTTGGGAATTCATAAAAGTAAATTTGCTGCTCTCCTGGTTTTGTTTCAAGGTTCAGAATTTTTTTCTCTGTAAATATTGGAAATATAATTTGTGCAATAACTTGGAATTTTTAATTTAATTTCATATTGTCACATAAGTTATATTTAAGGGGAAGAGGTTTTTTAATTTACAGATCCTTTCCCAGGTTGCATTATCTAAGTTGGGTTCATAGTTTTGGCAGGTTGTCTGAGCAGTGTTACAAACATGACGTTTGGGGTAATACTTGAGGCTTCTTGATTCACAATGAAAGCGCAATTTGGCTTACGGTTTTAAGAAGGTATTAAGCTCCAAAGCATTTTGACCCTGTGTTTTTTAGCTCATTGTCTGGCCTCTTATCAGTCGTCTCGCTCTGACCGATGAGTTTTAATTTTATTCCTTTAACTAGACAACAAATCCAGCGTTTGTAGTACCAGAAGTAAAACTTTTGAGAGGGAGGGGGAAAACGGTTGGCTCGAGTCCTGACATGAAATTTCAAGGCGTGTAGTTCACAGCTTTTTTGGGTTTTTTTGCATTTTAGTGATGTAACCTGTTAACGTTTGGGTTCGAACAACGTTATTAAACAGAGGTACCCGGCTTAAGGAATGTGGAGAAAGGAAATATGTTGATTCCATTGAGGAATCTGTATAGCAGTATGCATTAGTTCTGTTAAGAGCAAATATATAAAAAGTACTTCAGCTGCTCTAAGCGTTACGAGAAGTATCTTTTAATGTATTGCAGGAGAGCACAGCCCGGTGTTGTACACAGTATGAGTGGCTGGCACTTAATTTACAGATGCATACAGGTATACTATGCAAGTGTGTATTGCCATGACAAACACTGTCTTTAACTTTTTGAAAAATGTACATCCTGCCTAACCCTGAGTTTTTAAAGCACCACAGTTGTCCTGGGAGTAGGTCACATCTCGCGCCCTCTGACTTCCCCTTTTTTTTAATGAGCGTTCCGAAGCTGTACAGAAAACTGCAGATCAGTTGTAAGTCCACTAGCAGAGAAAGCTGAAGAATCCCGTTAACAGGACATCTATACAGTGTACAGGTAGAGAAGGTTTTAAAACTGATATCCGAGTGTTAAAATGAGGTGTCAAGCATGAAGCTTTTTAATACGCTGTATGCCTTTGAAGCAGAAGTAGTTCGTGTTGTTACTGAATCTGTCGGACACAAACAGGTCCTTGAGGGGAGAGAGGGCAACATTCCAACGTAGAGTAGCGCCTATCTGTTTGCAAAAAGTTTGTCTTAATGCTCCAGACTCATCACAATTTACAAAGTTTTAAAAATTGTGAGCTGATCCATAAATAATATCTAAGGGCTGTTACAGGAGCCTGTACTGCTTGGTCTTCACACACTAGCAATATTGAGCCTAACTCCATTTAAAGAGCCCGCCGAGGCTTCAGTTGGTGTCTTACGCTAGCGCCCATTTTAAAGCAAAACTCATCCGAAAAGTGGTATCATGTAACACTTCAGTCATGGTGAACCAAATAAATTGGCCTGGCGATCACTGTGGTTATGTGCTACAGGTTTAAAAGAAATCATGTTTAAATTTTTTGTGTGGACAACTATGTGGAAGCTAAAATTGACATATTTTTATGTAAAGTTTTCTATTCTTTGATTTTTAATAAACTTTGGAGACCAGTCACTCTTCTGTACATTTTTATGGGAAACCTGACGGATGAAGTATTCCTCGACATCGTCCTGCTGTTTGGTGTGCGCTCTGAGCATCTGCTTTGTGAGCTTGGCAAATTGCGGATGGACGCCCTCCGCAAACGTGGCTGATGTGTTCCTAAAGGGAGTAATCAACGTGGCTGCTGGTTTTCTAGTTGTGGATTTGATCCCTTGGTAATGGGAGGGCAAAGGAGCTGGAGGTACCTGCCAGTGGTATTCGTAGAAGAGGAGACTACCTTATCTCTTGGGATACCTTAACTTTCCATATAATTTTTCAGTCCCTCCCTGTAGTTTCTAAATTCCTTTCAAAATCTTTGTCCAGTTTGCAGCCCCCTGAATTACTGGCCGTACCTTGTCTGTCTTGTTGATGTCTACTAACCCTCTGAGAGGACCCTGAAACGTCAATAACTGACTCAAATGCAAGATTTCAGAAATTGAGTTGTTTACACGAGTTCCTTCCAGCCTGTCAGCTCCAGGGAAGGGAAGTATTCTTAATACATTAATATGGGGCTGGGGATTTGGAACCGGGGAGGGCTGTGGTACTTGGTTAGCCTTAGTGAGTATCCGCTGGAGAGAAGCAGATGTGGTGAGAAGGGAAAATGATAAGCACTCAGCAAGAGTTGGGATAATATTTTATTTCCTGTCCAGATCTGTCAGTGGGACATGGCTGACAAGGATACGCAACCTCTGTGGACGCAAAGATTCAGTGCGAGCAGCGTTGGTCTTGGAACTTCAGTTTTCCTGGACTTCACCTTTCCTTGTCCAGATGATGATTTTGCTTTATTCTTCCCACAGATTCTGCCCAACTGTTTATCAAATAGTTTCCTTTTAGTACGTTAGGAGTTTTGCTTCTTCCTTTGAACCCTGGTGGTGTGACAATCTCTGGTATCCCCCTGGCCTGTTTCACAGCTCTGCTGACTATTGTGGACGCTGCTCCTAGGCGAAAATGAGCCATGGACTTCAGATGTGGAAGGAGGAGACTGCAAGTTGGGTGGTTGAACAGGACCCACATTAAGTACATCGCAGGAGGAGCTCAGTTGCTATCCTGCCATTCCCAAGAGATGTCAGTGGTGGCCTTGTGTGGGACTTTCCCTGTAACTCCCTGCAACTGAACTGTAACTTTCCTATGATGAAAGGCTGAGAGTTGGGCTTGCTCAGCCTGGAGAAGAGAAGGCTCCGGGCAGACCTTATTGCACCTTCCAGTACCTGAAGGGGCTACAAGGAAGCTGGAGGGGACTTTTTACAAGGGTCTGTAGTGACAGGACAAGGGGTAATGGGTTTAAATTGAAAGTGGGGAGGTTTAGATTAGATATCAGGAAGAAGTTCTTCACGGAAAGGGTGGTGAGGCACTGGGACAGGTTGCCCAGAGAAGCTGTGGATGCCCCACCCCTGGAAGTGTTCAAGGCCAGGCTGGATGAGGCTTTGAGCAACCTGGTCTAGTGGAAGGTGTCCCTGCCCATGGCAGTGGGGTTGGAACTAGATTATCTTTAAGGTCCCTTCCAACCCAAAACAGTCTGTGAGTCTATGAACTCCATTCCCTCATGCCCTGAGGCAGGGTAAGAAGACAGAAGTGTGGCTGCTGGTACTGTGTGGCTGGTTTGGTTGTGTTTCCACGGGAACAGCTGCGGGACAGCATCTGGAGCATGGGCATAGCAGCAGTCTGCCAAAGAGCAGCGTTGGAGTACAGTATCCCTTCAAGCTGTATGACCTCGGCATCATTTGTGGGGAAAAAGAAAAGCTTGAATCATGAATGCTAACAGGCAGCAGCTAACTCGGGGAGGGGGGGTGTGGGTGAACGTGCCAACTTGAGCTATCAAGGACAAGCAGCCTTTTACTTGCTGGCTGCTGCCCATGCAGCGTGGGTATCAATCTAATAACGCCTGGACTAAACCAAAGTTGCGTCCTGAATTCTCCAATTAAGAGTCGTGACAGAGCCATCGATGTGGGGGGGCGGGGGTTGCTGATCAGGTCTTGTACCTTCTGCACGTTTTGATTTGGGCTTGTAGTGTTCTGAAAGGTAGTGCCAAGAAGAAGGATTTTGGAAGTGGCCTTAGAAAGAAGGGAAGCCTGAGAAGAAAGATCCTGGACATGAGGAAGGTGCGTGGAGAAAAACACGAGGGGATGCCCCGGGACCTTGGCTGACACTGCCTCGGGCCGGTAACCGGGGGTAGCTGTACAGCGTGAAGGGACGCGGCTTTCTGCCTGACCTTTGTGCGCCAGCAGCGTGCCTCCCTGCTGGGAAGGGAGCCGAGACCCTTGGGAGCGAGTGGGTCAGTGTGTGAAATAATCCCCTGAGATAAAAGCTCTGATCTTGTTGGTTTGTAAATAAACCCCAGTATTCAGCCCCAGCACGGGTGGGGGTTGACTTCAATTCACCCGTAGCAGAAAATGAGGTCAGAATGACAACACTGAGCGTTTACTCAACCGTTCACCATTTCTGCTTCATGGCCAGAGGACGGCTGCATCCAACCTTTCCCAAAATCATCTTCAGATGGATTTAGGCTTTCTTTTCAACCAGGATATTAACTTGTATTACTTCCAGCACCGCCTAAGTTTCAGTCCTGGAGGTGCCTTGCCTATTCTGGAGGACAGGAGCCCTTCAGTTGTTCTTGGCAGCGGGAGATCGCTTAAGGAAACCTGTGGACAGCCTGTGTCTGCAATAGACCTGTTAGAATGTTTTTAACCTTTTAACCAAGGGTTCTCAGTAGAAGATCAGCTGTACATTTGCTACGATTGGTTAAGGAAATGGTCAGAGGCTACGGCTGTGTTTTGGTGAAAGGATGGCAGGGATGCCTCTTGTAGGGCATCTTTGTACCTGAAACACCCACAGTTGCTGCCTGAAGCTGTTTCCTGTGTTACGCTACTGCAGAAGTTGTGGCAGAGGATGTTTTCCGTGGTGCAGCAGCCTTTATTTCAAATCAGTTCTCCAAACATTTGCCTTTTCTAATAAGCCTTTTTTATCGAGGGATTGTTGCATGAGCAGAAAAAAGAAACTATGAGCGGAGGGATTTTTTTTCCTTCAGGGAATAGCCCACCTGCGTGCTCATACTGTCGGTACACGTGCTTACGCTGGGGATCAGGAAAATGTTCCGCTGTTATTGCTAGCGGCCTTCGTGCCGCTGCCTCTCATGCTGGGATTGTGGGTGCAAAGGGCATCTCATCCAACCCTGGCTGCTTTCCCCTTCCCCACCAATGTCATGTGTTTTCCCGCTGTGAATTCTTAGCTGTGCAGCAAACTGTTGGCTGCTTCAGTAGCTTATGGGAATTGAACAACAGGTTGATTTACTGTCTGACTGAAAAATGGGCTCCAAAGAAATGCTTCACTGAGACTCATTTTTAAACCTAAACCAGGCAGGATTCAGGAGCTCCTATTGCAGGATTTTCTGTGTGAGAGGATGCAAGTGGTGTGTAAACTGGAAGTCCATAACCTCTGTGCCAAAGTTACCACTTCCCATCAGTGAGAACTTTGATCCCCTTGGAGGGTGTTCTGTTCAGAAAATGTTTGCAAGAAAATTCTTTGTTTCTTGCTCTTCCTTTCCAGACAGGAAAAGCTGAATCTTCTGATGAGTTCCATCCACCCCTGTTTGGTGCATCTGGCTCATTTGCAGAGTCCAGACAGGTAGGTGACATCTCACCCTTGTCAGGAATTGCCTGTCCAGGTGAAAACAGACAATCTGAGTACCGCTTACTGGATGGTCATGGGTGAGATCATCAGATCCTCTGTTCTCTCAGGGAAATCAGGAGACCGAGGAACAGAGAATAAGATTAATCTGTTAGTCGTTCATGTACGTGTAGCCTTCTGCAGATGGCCAGAGCAGAGCTGCAGTTCTTGACCAGGAGTTTGGGCCATATGACCGCTGTAGGGCTCCTCCTAATCTACATTTTTCTATGATACCACAAAAACAAACCCTATTTTTTGATTTTTAATTCATCTCTGTGGGTTTATGAAATGTTTTAATGGGCATGGAAGTCGGGCAGGAATTGATCTTTTTTTTTTTTTTTTTTTTTCTTTGTCCTGCACTTGATAAAATGGTTCTGGAAATTCTAGGACAAACAGGTTGAGACAGTTAAGAACATACTGACTTCTGAAATTGTTAATACCTGGCAATCCCCAAACACAATTACTGATCAATAAGCAAATCAATAAATCTTCCTGACTAAAATGCATTTTTTATTTGTATCTTCTCTGTATTATTATTATTGTTGTTGATAAACATATATTTTCTCTTCTGATTTCAGTCAACTTGTATTTGCAATGGTAAGACAATGAAGATGTGCAGGAGTAGTGGTTTGTGTAGGACATCAGCAACATACTCAAAAATGTTAAGTCCTTCACCTTTTCTTCCTGATGAGAGGTGCATAGATTCATCACGGAAGTACTTGATCATTGCAATCTGCTTGTTTGCAGATTTATTCCATATACAGCAGTAGGTGGATTACTCACACTGAAAGATAGTAAAGCAGCACTGATGGAGCTGAAAGCATTACGAAAAGGATTTTTTTAGAGGTAAGGTTTGGAATCTGCCCAAGTTTCACTTTAAATAAATGATCACATCTGTGTAGGTCAGAGCTGTCCCTAACTTTGCATCGTAGAACTCAGAGAGAATAGCATGTTCATCAGGAGTGGGTCTATAGAAAAGGAAATTTCCACAAAGAAAAAGGAAGCAAAATCTAAAGATCTTAATGATCTGGACTTGAAATATAAAATAACTTTCCTAGCAGAACGGGAATTGTGACATGTTGTCGTGGTTTAACTCCG